CCGGAGGCGAAGAGGCGAAGGCCATTTTCGAGAGCCGGTTAAAGCAATCTTGACTCTTTGAGGCGCACAGGTGGCAAGTGCACGCTCTCCACACCCCCCTCCCCCGCCCCGGCCTTTTCTTAGGTTTGTTTCCTTTCTGAGCCTCCACGACCTCTGTTGTAAGCCTTCTGCCTCAAAGCAGTCTGGATTGGAAATCATTCATTAGTACTGGGAAGCCTTAAATGAGCGCCAATCCTCCCGTCGCAGCTTCCCAGATTGCTAGAATTACATGTGTGAATAACCACATAACCACACCCGACTCCGCAGCCGTTTTGTTGCTGCTGCTTGTTTTGGTCTGGTGGCTGTTATTTGCGAAGGAGCGTGGCATACCCCGCCTGAGCACTTAGGGTGCTTGACTTTGCTTTGGTCTCGGAGGCTGTTCCCAGTGCAAAGAAAATTAAAGCAAACGATGCAAAACTGAGCTTAATCATTTTACCCTTAACTGAGTTGAGCCCTGAAGCTTCAAATGTTCTCCCTAATTTTGATAAAGTTCGTAGTCTTCGTACACACTTTTCACAACTAATTTACTTTCTATTCTAAGCTCGAACAATGACTGCTTTTTCTTAACTATAATTGTTGATGTTTTTTAAAGGGTGAAGAATGGTTCTTGCCCACCTGTGGAGTGTGTGTGTGTGCCGTAAGAATGATAGTGACACCAACCAAAGTCGAGGGCTATCAAGAACAACCAAGGTTCCAGTCAGTGGCTGAGACCCTTTTTATCAAAGCACACTGTAACTAAGGTGTGAGAACCACACAAAGACACCCACCTTTCACCATTTTCTCTTTATCATCTCACCAAAGAGAAAAGCATCTTAGACCCCAGTCTAGACAAAGAAATATATTCAGTAGCTTACATAAAAAATAAAAAAACAAAAACAAAACGCTGTAGCAAGATATCCTGGCCTCGAGCAGCGAGCAACAGCAGAGAGGGAGGGGTTGATTCTGGTGGGGAATCTTGGTAAGCTAGCACAGTCTACAAAAGGGCAAGTCAGGGCACTGGGGAGTGAGAAAAGTGCCCAGCTGCAGACCAACTGCCCCTACCGCGATACCTACTCTCCAGTGCCTCAGCAGTGTGCCCTCTGCCTTCTCCCAGAAAAAAAAAAAAAAATTGTGGGGTCCGGTACTACTGCTACGGAATCTGAAGCGCACCAGTCAGGAGATCTGGTTGGGATGTAATATGAACCTGAGTGAGCTTCTTCTATTTCTGATGTGGACATTGCAGATGGATTCATAAAGTAACGATCAAATCTTCTTTTTAGAACTATTTGGTTCGTAGGTAAATACCGCTAGGGATTTACCTAATGTTGACCCTGTATGTGGTCGCTGCCCAGCTCCACCTTTTTGTTCTTGTCCTGGAATTGTGTGATCTAGAACTGGTTCTGACTCCAGCCAACAGGCCCCAGTGAAAAGTCTCCTCATTTTGTTGTCTTTTCCAGACTCTGTTCCCAGCAGCTGTTGATTTATAGTGTATAGAGCTTCAATCTTAATCCTTGATTCCATTCCATGGAAATAAAAGGTGTGCTGTATGTTCTCCTGTAAGATTGTCTTGCAAGTTAGGCTTTCTCTTTACTACAAATATAAACTTATTTTATCCTTATAAAAAAATAAACGATTGCATTATCTTGAATTTATTGAGCATATTATAAATTATGAAAAATTTGATATAATGTGAAAATTTAAATGCAAGAATAAACATTTATTTTATTTGTTTCACTTTTTAAAAGACTTATTTTGAGATGCTTCAATGCTGTATATGTGTGTGCGCGCATATAAGCATGTGAGTTCAAGTGCCTGCGGAGGCCGAAGTCATCAGAGCACCTTGAACTTCCATTTAAACTCCTTTAATATGTGTGAGTGTGTGTATCTGTATATAATTAAGAACAATCATACAAAGCTGGGTGTTGTCGTGCACACCTTTAATCCCAGCACTCTAGAGGCAGAGACAGGCAGATTTCTGTGAGTTCGAGGCTAGCTTGATCTATGAAGCAAGTTCCAGGACACACAGGACTGTGATACGAAGAAATCCTGTCTGGTAAAACCAAAACAGAGAAAAAGAAGAGGAAGAGGAAGATGATGATGACAATTCAGACAGCAGCAGACTTTTATGCTGTTCTCTGGGATCTTTAATGTTAGTTATCCCTCCCCATACTCCTTCCTCTACCTTACCCTCAGCCCCCACTTCACTTAGCCCTTTCTTGTCTTTATTTCTATAACCCCCTTCATTCTACTTATGTTTTATCCTCTTTCCCTTGAGAACCACCTCCATTGTCCCCTTACTAGTTTCCTGACCTCTCTGGGTATCTGCGTAAACAAATGTCTAAAGATTCAAATCTAACATCCACACGAGACAAAACATATTTGCCCTTCGGGGTCTGTGTTACCTCACCAGGAATGACTGTTTCTAGCTTCAGTGACTTACTGGTGAATTTCATAATTGCATTTTCTTTGCAGCTAAATAATATATCGCTGTGAAAATGTACCACTGCTTTCTTCTCCATTCACCAGCTGGTGGACATCTAGGCTGTTTCTACTCCTGGCTGTTGTGATTAAAGCAGCAATGAAGATGAGTGAACAAGTATCTTTGTGTAGAGGGGAGAGTCCTCTGAACATATGCCCAAGAGTGGTGTATCTGATCATGTGATAGATCTCTTTCTAGTCTGCTGAGGAAACTCCACGTGGATTTCCATAGCGGTTGTACCAGTTTACACCCCTTTCTCACGTTCACGCCAGCATTCATCACCGCTTTTTTTTTTTTTAAATCTTAGCCATTCTCAGTGGAGTAAGATGAAATCACAAAGTAGTTTTAATTTATGTTTTCCTGATGGCTAAGGATGTTGAACATTGAAAAAAAAATTTCTCAGCCATTTGTATTTCTTCTTTTGAGAATTCTGTTTAGTTCCATGCCCCAATTTTGAATTAAGTTATTTGTTCTCTTGGAATTTAGATTTTTTGGCTTTGATTATTTTGGTTACCAATCTTCTTTCAGATGTATAGCCAATAAACATTTTTTTCCCATGCTGTACACGGCCTCTTTACATATAGAGAAGATCCATATGGTTGTTGAACGCGATTGTCGGAGGGAACTTGAGACGTACGCTTTTCACCAAGTGCTCCTAAGAGGAGGTTGAACCTAGTGTTATGACGCTGCATTAGACTAGCGCTCACTCTCAGAACAGCACAAAGAGCACATCTTCACTCTCTATCGTGTTCCCTAGCTTTGTGTTTGTGTTAGGGAACCTGGGTTCAATCTGCAACACAGAAGAAAAGAAAATCACAACAGAAGAGGAAAAGTACAGAAAGTAACAGAATCAGACTTGCCAGTGCTTGGGGCTAGAGCATCCTAATGAAAGCTTTGAGGGGGTGCAGCTGATACACTTGTGAATTACAAAGCATTCAGTGTGGCTGGAAAGGGCCTACGAGTAAGGGGGTATGAAGTGAAACTGTGAAGGAAACAAGGGCTAGGTTAGGTGAAGTTTCAAGGGCCACTTTAAATGCTCTAGATTTTACTTTGAGTGAGTAAGATATGGAGTCAGGAGTATGTCCTCAACCATGAAACGAATAGGTGGTCCCTATTTAATGGGATCTCCTCTCTGCCGAGTGGAAATGGCCATATGGCAGGGAAAAAAACCTCTTAAAGGGTCTTTTTTTTTTTTTTACATAAGTCATTGGTGGCTCAGAAGTGAGACCACTGAAGTATGAGGTCACTAAATCCTTGATACAGTTTTAAAGAAGAGCTAGCAAAATTAATTGATGAATTATTGTCACAAGTAATTACGATATACACTGTTGGTGGAATTTAGTGTTTAGTAAAGGAAGAGAGATGGATCCCAAGCTGACTGAAGTTTACTTTCTAGTTAGAGGAACAGCAAAATAAACACGCATATAGGTATGTACATATATGAAAATATGTATAATACTTCTCATAATTAGGGCCTTGCTCTTGGAGAAACCCAACCTTGCTTCCCAGCACCTCCGATCAGCTGTAACTCCAGTTCCAGGGGACCTCATACCCTCTTCTGTCCTCCTTGGGCACTAGACACATACATAGTGCATATGCATACAAGTAGGCAAAGCACTCATACACATACTATTTTTAAGTCTAAACACTTCTCAACGGTGCCTTGAAAAGGAATAAAATATCAAGCTGGCGAGAGGGATACAGAAGGGCCACACCTTTGCCAATAAAACATTTGTTTTTCTTTTGTATTTCCAGGCTGCCCTCAAACTTGCTTTAGTAGCTGAAGACAACTGAACTTCTGATCCTCGCCTCCACCTCCTGAGGAACAGGTTACAGGGGTCCCGGTCTCATCACCACACCTGGCTATTTTGGTGCTGGAGACTGAACCCAGCATGCCATGCGCAATAGGCAAGCATTCTACTACACCCCTGCTCTTTTTTGCCTTTGTAAAAAATTGTTCTTTCTGAACATTAAATATTAAGGAGCAAACCCTATGGATTTATGCGGAAACAGCAGTTTACAAAGAGGACAAGCAGGGTAAGAATTCTGAGGCAGCATAGACTGGTGAGTTCACACACTGTACGGTAGGACTGTAGGTCAGAGAGGATGGTGGAGGTGATGTGGGAAGCCTGGAAAGCCGACAAGGCAGAAATTCGGGATCAAAGAACAGAGGGAGACTGATTGTTGAGACAACCAAAAGTGTGCTGAGAAGCAGGGAAGAAAGACTCAGAGTAAGGGGACCATGAGAGTGGAGGGGCCAGAGGAAAAGAAAGCTAGGCGCAGGCAGCATTGCCAGCAGTCAGCTTCTACCGACTCTGGACTCTGGCGTCTCGCTATGCTTTAGCGATTACTAAGGACGCCTAACCTGCCAGGAGAGGCATCCCAAAAGAAACAGGAGCTTCCCGTTGATGGCAAAGCCCAGCCCTGAAGACATATTTTAGGTTTGCAGTGATGGAAAAAGAGTAGAGTGCCTGAAACCCTTCCTTACAGAGTACTGGACAGAATGGCAGTCAAGGCTCCATGGCTGGCTCTCTTGCTTCTGGTTTCCCTCTGGGGGCCGTCAGCTCCAGGTAAGACAAGGTTGAGGGGCAAGTAGGGAGACCTACAGAACACAGTCTAACGCCAATGCCTTCCCGTTTCACAGCCTTGCTTCTCAGGCGTCTGAGAGAACACATTCAGAGGTTTCAGGAGAGCTCTAACCTCCAGCTGGGCTTTGGTCTTAGCCAGGGTCTTGTGACTGTCCCCAAACAAGGGTGGTTAGAGCAGCCACTGGATCCCTTTAACGCATCTGACAGAAGAACCTTCCTGCAGGTAAGGCTAGTAGAGACCACTATCCACTGTACTATCTGGTCAGTCAACTTACTCTATACCTTGTCTGTGTCCCCCCACCCCCATCCCCCTTTCTATCTTGCCCTGCACTCTTGCAATCCCAAACTTGAGAGGTAAAGGCTGGAGTATCAGGAGTTCAAAGTTAGCCTGAGATCCATAGGGAGTTTAAGACCAGGGTAGGTGACATAAAACTGTCTCAAGAAAACAAACAAACAAACCAGCAGATTTTAACACGTAGCAGAAGTTCAAACTAGCCTTGGAATTAGTGGTGACAACAGGTGTTCAGAAATCACGAGAAGGGGCTGGGCAGTAGTGGTGCACACTTTTAATCCCAGTCCTTGAGAGGCAGATGGATCTCTGTGAGGCCAGCCTGGTCTACAGAGCGAGTTCCAGGACAGGCTCCAAAGCCACACAGAGAAACCCTGTCTTGAAGAGAAGAAAAATAAACAAACAAAAGAATCACAAGAAGGAATAAACAAATTTATGCTTTTCTATTGCCTCACCTATACATAATCTCCAAAAGTTGCCCCATGATTCCTAAACCTACCTAGTCATGATTACTGCTTCACAACATAGCAGATGCCTACCATGCACCTGCCAGTTCCCTGTCCTGAGGATTTAAGGGAAACACACACACACACACACACACACACACACAAATATCTACTTTTTTCTTAAAAAAGAAAAAGGAAAAATAGTTTATTTTGCACACTGCACAGCAAGCTAGGCAGTAACTAGGGTTTCCACCTCTGCATTCCAGGGCCCAAAATATCTCCTTTTACAGTTATGTGACCTGGACAAGCCCAGCTAAGACACCACTAAGTAGAAGGAGAGATTCTTAGGGAAAAGACTGGAGTGACAGAGAATGGGTCAGGATGCGGTGACATTTCTTCTCTCTCATCCCTCCTCTTAGCGATACTGGGTGAATGACCGACACAGAACTGGCCAAGATGCACCAGTCTTTCTGCACATAGGGGGTGAGGGCAGCCTTGGGCCTGGCTCAGTGATGGCAGGTAAGGAGCAAGGATTGGAGAACTGGAGACTAGGAAGGGGAACTGCAGGTGACAATATGGGGAGACCCCAGAAGCCGCCTAGCTCATAACTCACATCTCCTCTCTCCCATGTTCTCTTCACAGGGCATCCTGCAGCACTGGCCCCTGCCTGGGGCGCCCTGGTGATAAGCCTGGAACACAGATTCTACGGTCTGAGTATGCCTGCTGGGGGCCTGGATACGGCCCAGCTTCGCTACTTGTCCAGCCGCCATGCGTGAGTGGGAATAAGGAAGGTGTTTGAAATTATAGGACGGCAATGCTATTAGTGACTCCATGGCTATGTTTCTCTGTTACTGTCCACTCTTCTCTGAGTCTCTGGCTTCCCCTTTTCTTCCGTGTTTCATAGTTTTTTGTTTTTTTTTTTTTACCTGTCATCTCTAACTCTGTCTCTATTTCCATCTTTCTCTTGCCCTCCACTCTTATCTTTCTGTCCAAAGAACGTTAGGCTCTCACTGTGGGCTACTATTCCAGACCAGCAGAATCTCTTAGCAAAACTATGACCACATCCTGTTTCTGCCCCTGACTTCAAGGTAGAAAATGGAATCCTGTCTGAGCATAAACCTGATCATGACTCTCAAGTTCATTCCTTACATCCCCCCTGCTGCTCATCAGTCTTTATAGGAGCCTCAAGTTTCCCCAGTTAACTCCCACACTCACGGGAGCTCGGCTACACTCCAATTCTCGCTACACACTGGCAGATACGTTATCTCAAGCTTTGGAACTTTTCCTCTTCAAAGTGTGGTCTTTTCCCAGATACTTGCGTGTCTCTCCTGTGCGCCTCACTTCTGTGACTAATCCCCACCATTTCTTCCCCCAACCTCTCATGGGCTTTAATGCTCTCAACTAGGCTTATCCTCTTTCTGAGTTTGTACCTCCCTTCTGTCGGCTCCCTGACTATTCCTGTCTTGTCGCCATCGCTCCTTGCCTCTCCTCATCTTCTCTATAGCTCAGTTGGCTTTGAATTGAAGCCACGTGGCACTGACTGAGAACACTTCAGAAAAGTTGTAGAAGAGAAAGGACGTTATTCTCCAGTATCTTTCTCCTTTCCCTTTGGGTTTCTCCCAGCCCCCAGTTCCTTAGCCCATCCCGAACCCTCTTCTTCTGAGGCGCCCCGGCTTCTCTTTATTTTTTGTTAAGTTTTTAATCTAACGGGCTAGGAAACTTTTCCGTTCTCACCTAAAACGGATATTGAAGGAAGGTAGATAGGCCTTCTCCCCTGGCTTAAGCAGTGAGTGTCATCAGAAAGAGCCTAGAACCCAGCTTAGGTTCTGGTCCGGGTCTGCACAGTGGCCCCCAGGGGTAGAGGGTCCAACTTTCGCTCTTTCGCAGATTGGCTGACGTGGCCTCGGCCCGCCAGGCGCTCACCCGCCTCCTCAACGTGTCCGCCTCCAGCCCCTGGATCTGCTTCGGAGGTTCCTACGCTGGCTCGCTGGCCACCTGGACCCGGTTGAAGGTCCCTGGAATTCCTCGGGTGGGCGGAGGTGGAGAGGTCTTCCTCGGGAGTCCGAACCAGGGTTATTAGGGCGCACTCCCACGCCTCTCCCTACCCACGCGTGTCGGAGAGGGACTCCCAGCACCGGCATCCCTCCTCGACCCAGGATGACGTCCCTCCTTTCGTAGTTCCCCCACCTAGTCTTCGCCGCCGTCGCCTCCTCGGCACCGCTCAGCGCCGTGCTGGACTTTCACGCCTACAACGAGGTAGGGCATCAGCGGCGCGGGGTTGGGGGGAGCGGGGTGGGGGTGCAGGGGTAGGAGGGAGTGGACGCGAGGCAACGCCCAGCTCGCACTTCCCAGACGCCTTTCCCGCCCGCTGCAGGTGGTGGCCAGAAGCTTGACACAAGTGGTGATAGGTGGATCGCTGGAGGTAGGTAGGGCCTAAAGTGTGGAGGAAGGAGAGGGAGTGGGAAGAGCTAGGGAAAGCCTGGTCAGAGGGGCGGAGCAGCCGTAGGGTAGCGGGGTGGCAGAAGGCCTTGGCCCAGGGACGCGGGTAGGTTGTGGAACTGCTGGAAATGAAGATGGAAGAAGCATCCAGAGAGCAAGCGCCAGGTAGGGAAGGCGGTACAGAGAAGAGGGCGGGGCCGGTGGGCGTGGCAGGGCAGGGAGAGGGATTACCAGGGGCGGGGCCTCTAGCGAGCTCTGGACAAAAGGTGCGAAAGAAGTGGGAGGAAAATTTTAGTGAGGCCATGGTGAGGCCATGGACCCCGGTTGGGAACCACCCCAAGAAGATGAGGTCCCAAGAAAGGGAAAATCCAGGCCCCCCGCGAACGTCGCTTATTGGTTCCCGAAGTGCCTGGCGGCGGCCTCCGCAGCCTTCGCGGAGGTGGAGCGGCTTCTGCGCTCAGGCCCGGCAGCTCAGGCAGTGCTGAAGGAGGAGCTGGGCGCCTGTGGGTCGCTGGACCGCACTGAAGATCAGGGAGAGTTGCTGGGGGCGTTGCAGGCGCTGGTGGGAGGCGCCGTGCAGTACGACGGGCAGGCGGGAGCTCCGCTGAGCGTGCGCCAGCTCTGCGGACTCCTCGGGGACTCCAGCAACGGCAGTCACTCCACGCCCTACCTCGGGCTTCGCCGGGCGGTGCAGGTAACCTACCCCGGCGCGCACTCAAGCCAGGGGTTAGGGGACCAAGGCTGCGTCCACGTCGGCTGAGCTCAGACACCCGAAACACTCCTGTTATCCTTAAGTTCCTCATTAGAGAATAAAGTTTGCATATTTCACCCGACTGATAGTAAAATTAGCTTATTAAGCAATCAGGCAGGTGCTAAACACAAAGTATACAAATGTTAGAGACCATGATTATTATCTCTACTATCTTGTTATTTGGTCTTGGCCGCAGCAGCGTCTGGCACACAGCAAATGCAAACTAGTATTTAAGATTGGGGGAGGGGCGCTCTGAGATAAGAGTTCTACGGGGTACCCCCCACAGTCCCCATTCTACGGTTACAGCTCCGCCACCACATTCTCCGCTCTAGTTCTTTACAAATACCTCACTAAACCTAAAAGTTTCTCAGGCGACCGGCACTATCATTACCCCACCCACGTTACAAAAGAGCAAACGTGTAGACCGATTAACTCTTGCCCAGGGTCTCGCAGACAATAAGACTTTGGACATTTAGTTACAGGGACCTCCCTCCCACTGACTTCCCCAACAGGAAAACTCAGGAACTCACCCTTTTCACTTCTGACCCGGAGCCTGTGGCGCCCTGGCTTGCTAGGAGAGGGGAATGTGTCTATGTATGTATGCACGTTAATGTTTGTATGTGTTGTCCCCTAGATAGTCTTGCGCAGCATGGGCCAGAGGTGTTTAAGCTTTTCCCGGGCAGAGATAGTGGCACAGCTGAGAACCACCGAACCTCAAGTGTCTGGCGTGGGGGACCGGCAGTGGTTGTACCAGACGTGCACTGAGTTTGGCTTCTGTGAGTGACCTGCCTAACTCCCAAAGCAGAGGATGTTACAGATGATCTGAACTCACGATCACAACTAATCAGACTCTGAGGCCCTGTGTAACCCCGGAGGGGGCTGGCTCGAGAGTGCAAACAGCCACCTGGTGCGACCTGCCTTCTAACACTCATACTTCAAGTCACAACCCCTCTCTCCCTTCTTCCAAGTGCTTCCTGTGCTGTATCCCAGACCATCTCCAGCTTTGTTTAGTCACGGGGGCTAGAAACTTTATCTTGATGCCTGCTTCCCATTGTCCAAATGTCCGGTCAAGCACTGAATTTTGCCCACTGTGCAACCTGTCTTTTCCTCTACTTCTTACTCTGTGGTCCTGTCAGAGGCCCCACACACTGCTGCCTGCATCCTTCATCCCTTCTGGTCTCTAGGCTTGCACTTCTCCTGGGCAGTCTGCCTTCTACACCACAGCCAGAGAAGTCTTCTTAAATATGGGCTCACATTTCAGTGACCCAAGGTTGGAGCTGCCAGACAAAATACAGGATGACCAGTTAAATCTGAACTGCAGAAAGCAAACAAAGAAACACTGCAGATTAAAAATTCAAACATCACATTACAAAAGTAATGGGGGTTTTGTGTATCTGAATGTAGGTACCCTGTATCATTTGTCAAATATGGTGTCCCACCCCGGAATTAAGCCTTTGTGTTCTTTTAAGGGCTAGAGTCTTACTATTTAGCCCAGGTTTGCCTTAGACTTAATTATTCCCCCTGCTTCAGCCTCTGAGTGCTGACATGACAGCCAAATGCCACCATCCCCTGCTCAGAGTTGAGTTCTAAATCCTTTTTATACTTTGAAGACAAGCGAGAATAGTGGGATGAAGTAGAATGTTCAATTCTGTTTCCTGTGTGTGTGCTCTGGGACAAACTTAGGCAAGTGCCTGTGATTGGCCGGTTTCCCCATCTATAAACTGACAATAACAGCACTACTATTTTGGTTGCTACTTTCTGCTCGATTTTGCCCAACATATGTCAGAGTGCATTGTAGGTGGTCAGCAAATGATGAAGGATTCATGTGAGACTAATAAAGTCATGTTTACCCAGAAGAGTGTGGGCTGTGGATTTTTAGCAGGGGAGACATTATCCAGTGTGAGAACCAGTCACTGCAGATTCTACCTTCCCTCTAAACCTTTTCACTTTCTCTCTTCCCTATTGGTCATTTCTTCTTGTTGCTTGGCTCAATCATCCTAATTCCCCAGGCCCTTATTCTTGCAGGATGCCCTCCCTGAGCCCATTGAGCTCTCTCTGGGAGCCCCACCTCCTGGCCTTTTCCATCACAGCCCAGTCACTGGGGGATATCCTGATCTGGGATGTGTGAGCCTGTTTGGCAGATCTGTGAGCTTGTGGAGGTCACTACTGGGGAGTGTTCTATAAGTTGTTATTAAAGGAGAGAAAGGGGTTGCATGCATTCTTCACACTTATAGGTCCTCTCTTTCCACAGATGTCACCTGTGAGGGTCCTCCCTGTCCTTTTTCCCAACTCCCAGTACTGCCCTCCCAGCTCGATCTGTGTGAACAAGTGTTCGGTCTCTCAGCTGCATCTGTTGCCCAGGCTGTGGCCCAGACAAACTCCTATTATGGTGGCCAGACCCCAGGAGCCACCCAAGTTCTGTATGTTAATGGTGAGTGTGCCACCAGAACCTGGCTCTACAGCATCACTGTAGCTCCAGCTCAACACCATCCTCTCCTTTCTTCCCAGGGGACACCGATCCCTGGCATGTGCTGAGTGTAACCCAGGACTTGGGCCCCTCTGAGCCAGCTCTTCTAATTCCTGGGGCCTCCCACTGCTTTGATATGGCACCTGTGAGGCCTTCAGACTCTCCCAGCCTCCGCCTGGGGCGCCAGGTAAGAGAAAAGGCTCTGAGTGTTTTATATTCACATTTACATACTTGATTTGCATGACCCTTCTTTTTACCGGTGCTGAGTTGTGACTTCCAGAATGCTCTGCACCTCTTCACAGAGAATCTTCCAGCAGTTACAGGTCTGGCTTAAAGCTACCAAGAAGAACCAGGATTGATGTGGGATCTAAACTCTGCCCTTCCGCAGTCCCAATGTGGCAACTGCCTCCTGGCACTTTTTCTACAATGTGCGGAGGAAAGCAGCTGGGTTGGAGGAAGGAAGTTTCTAGACTTGGGACTTAGTGCCTGTTCTGCATGTTCATGCTCCAGTTGTCCTCATTGCCACCTAGAAGTTGGCACAGATCCGTGTGAGTGTAGGCGAATGACTACTGGCCGTGTAGGCATCCATAGTCCATATGGTAAATGTCAGGGAAATACGGCTCTCCACGCTGGAGCCTTCTCCAAGGTCGGAATCTGACTTGGATTCTGCCCTCTTGCTTCTGGTCTGGGCACCTCCTTCACACGACTCTGCACTCCCCGAACTGAACTTGGAATCACCATGGAAACCACTCTGGACTGTGTGTGAGGACATTTCCACCTATGTGATGCTGAAAAGACTCTCCTGAAGTGGTGGTAACATCCCATCCCTGAGGTCCCAACTGAATAAAAAGGGAAGCTGAGCGCCAGCATTCATCTCTGCTTTCTGATGTGGCCATGATGAGACCAGTTGTCTCGTGCCCCTGCCGCCATACCTTTGCCACTATGATGGGCTGTATCCCCTACTGTGAGCCAAATCAAACCTTCCTTGCCTAAATATTTCTTATTAGTTACTGGGTCGCAGCAGTAGGAAATGGAGAGAACGCAGTCTGTTTCTGTCTTCCCAGTGTTTCTTCTCAGTCTTTTGTAGTGGCATTTCATTTGTATTTTAATAAATAAAGCTTGCCTGAAGATCAGAGAATAAAACAGCCACCCTGGTCAGCCTTACAGACCAGGCAGTGGGGACATTCACTTTTAATTCCAGTAGCCACACTAGTTGCCATAGAAACCAGGCAGTAGTGGTAAGAGCCTTTGGGGTCGGGGGTGGGGGTAGGGGAGGGGGAGGAAGTGTGACTCATCTAGGCACCTCTAATCTTGTCACTTCCCAATAAGAACCAAACACGGGTCGGGGTCGTTGCCTATGAAGAAAATATTTTAGATGTCTGCAGACCCACATTGTTTCCTTTCCCCTTTTTATTTTTTTCAAAGTCCCTTCTGTTTAAAGCTAAGATCACCTATGGGTATAAAATCCTCTCTCCAGATTTCTTAAATGGCCTCTGAAGTCTCATTCCAGTTAAGCAACTGCCTTATTTATCAGGGGAGAGGGGAGGAGGGAGGCTACATGGAAGGTGCAACATGAAGGGGCCTGCTTGTTGGGGTTTGCACCACCATTGCATTACTGACACATATATACAGGTCTCTTTATTGTGCTATTTTAAAATAAGACTTTAGAATCATTGCTTCCTTTAAAGCTACTAGGCAACCACTCATTCTGACCTCCCTTCTCAACTCCTAGAACCAGCCTGGCAGACACTCCTCCCAATCTTCCAGTTTTACCTCCCAGCCCCCAGTACCACCAGTCACAGAGTGGACCTGTTTCTGGAGTTCCTAGGGCCAGATCCTGAGTCCTGGGAGTTCTTACAAGTCAGCCTGGATCAATTAAACAATAATAGTGAAGAGTAAAAATAGAAGATTTATTCAGCTTGAGCATGTTTGGAAGCATAAAGGGCCAGTGAACCATCCTCCCGCCTATCCCAGCCACAGGTCCATGTTGCAGGTCCTGCCATGAGGTTCGGCATTGTTTATTTAATTTTATTTATTTCTTTATTAGTGTGTGGGGTGGGTGTTAGAGGACAGTTTTCAGCAGTCAGTTCTTCCCTCCACCTGGTGGGGCCCCAGGGATTGAGCTAAGCACCTTTACCAGTGAGCCAGAGATTCAGTTTTAAATAAAACAACAGTGATGTCTGCATAGTTAAGCCATCCTGGTGGAGGAGTGTGTACCCGTCACCATCACTGTCTCAGACCGCGGTCTCCCAGCCCTGATGAAATCTCTTTCAGGGAAGATAAACTCCTTATCTGACTGGTACAAAGCCCCTAACAATTTTTTCTCTACCCAGCAAGAGATTCCAAGTGCATCATCTCAATTGTCTGATAGCCAAAGAGAGAGGCACGGGCGTCGGTTTAGTAGTATGGTTCTTGCAGAGATGGCAACTAACTATTTCTGTTTCCGAAGTCCAGCCTACTCAACATTCTCTGGTTCCTACAAGATGGAGACCCCAGAATGTCTGACAGTCAGATAGCCTGAACAAGAAAAGATGGCGTAAATCTTTAATACCTCCTGAAAAGCAGACTCAAATTTCTGGACAGCAGTTGGGAAAGACAATTTTCTCCTAGATGGGTCTCTCGTGTCACAGACTTCCCTGTTGCTGATTTTAGTGCATAAAAAGGGCTCAATCACTTTGATCATTATCTAGTTTAAAAAAACAAAAAGTTCCGGAAAACCCCGGCAGACAAATTTTTTTTGTTTGTGAACAAAGAAGGAAGAGGGAGTGTGTGCTGTTCCTATAGCAGTTATCACGTTCCCCCCGACTCAACAATGCCTCGATTCAAAAGCAGGCGGAAAATGGCATTTTTTTTTCCCCACAACTATCTCCCTTCTGGGAGATTTTAATTTGAGCATAAGAATGGTATGCTTCACGAACCTTTAAAAAGAAAAATCAAAACACTTTGCCTCATTTCAAGTCTCTGCACAAGGGAAACGAGAACATTGATGACTCTAAACTTTTTTAAACAACTTGGCATTTCCTTTTTTTGCAGCAAGGAGGCCAGCTGCCTACTACACCCCAGGTTGCTCTCTGGTACTTTCGTAGCAGAGGGCCCTGGGTGCTGAGAGCTCTGGTCCAGCGGAAGTGCTCTAAAACCCTCATGCGGTTTCCCTTTCTTAAAATTATTATGACTAACTCTCTTTATTGTTCTTCTATTATTTATTTACTTACTTACTTACTTACTTACTTACTTACTTTGAAGCTGGCTCTGTAACCCTAAACTGACCTCGAACTCCTCAGTGCTGTGAATCACCCACTTGTACCGTCCATGCCTGGTGCAGTAGTGAAATTTAAAAAACAATTTTTCACCCGATGGCTGAGTCTTGGGTGAGTCAACCACCGAAAAAAAAAATCACAAAACTCCACACGCCAGGGGAGCTCTATCTTGTTCAATAACTTCATCTCTTTTCCTGATGCTTTGATTCCTGAACCACTTGGTAGGAAGCTTTAGACTTGGGTGTAGGGGAGAGCTCCTGGTCTTTGAATTGTTTGCTGTTAAAGTAGGAGACGTTGGATGCAGACGTGAGAAGCCCCACGACGACTGAAGAGGATTGCTACCTAGATCTTGTCTGAATAAGGAGATTAGATAGAAAGATAATAGGTAGATAGATGATAGATAGATAGATAGATAGATAGATAGATAGATAGATAGATAGATAGATGATAGATAACAAGTAAGTAAACAGATAGATAAATAGGTAAATAAATTTAAAAGAACAAATTTATTTTCTGTTCAAGTAGAACCCCTGGAGAGAACTGAAGGCTCCACAGTCCTTCACGTGGTTCCATGGTGTAATGGTTAGCACTCTGGACTCTGAATCCAGCGATCCGAGTTCAAATCTCGGTGGGACCTGCACTTTTTCCTCCAATTAGCTTTCACTACATTTAAATTGATACAAAAAATAATTCCTGGTAACCACACCTTAATAGAGCTAAATACCTTTTTTCACCAACTGAGTGACTTTATTTTTGCTTACAGTTTCTTTTTAGAGGAAGGAAAAGGAAAAGCAAAGACCTCTCAAGAAGGCATTGCAGCAGGAAGCTAGAACTCTTTCCAGAGAAATCTGCTCACAATCACAACTGGGGAGGCGGGAGGAAGTAACTAGTAGTGAAGACTCAGAGGAAACAGTCCCAAGCTGGCAACTGGAAATAGAATTTATCTAGTCTGGAGAGCAATAGTAGCTATTTTGTTGTTTGGGGGGGAGAGGGGGTGGTTCTTTTGCTTTGTTTTTGTTTTATGAGACAAATTCTTACTCTACCCTGTGTGATCCCAAACTCGCTTCAATCCTCCTGCTTCTGTCTACTGAAAGTTGGGACTTCAACTTTTTTGGTTTGGTTATTTTTTTTTTTTTTTGTATGTTTTACTTTTTTAAATTTTCTTTGAGACAGGGTCTCATGTAGTTTAGGATGGCCTGGAATTTCTAATCCTCCTGTCCCCGCCTCTTGAGTGCTGGACTGATAGATAACGCAGGAGGACGCGGCTGGTCACAGTCTCCAGTGAGTAGAGAGAGATCCAAGCTTGACCAGTTTGCACTAGCAAACGTCACGTGAGCAGAGACTAGGCCTGACTCCACACCAAGCTGTTGACGTCACGTGAGCGGAGGTGGGTTGGGGCACTGGTGCATCTTCTGGAACCGTCAACTCGGTGAAAGCGGTGCCGGCAAGCGCCCACGAGTTTGGCAAGGGCAAGGAAGGCAGGAGCCTAGCGAGGGAACCAGCGGTCCCCAAAGTCACGCTCGCTTTTCCCGCAACTTCTTTCTTTAAAGGTTTTTGATTTTCCAACTTCATTCTTGTACGCAGTGTGCTGTGACCGTATTCCCTTCCCAATACCCTCTTTTCTTCTCTTCTACTCCCGCTCACCTCCTGTGTGTGAGCTCACAAGCAGGTCTCATTCAGGGAGCCACACATAAGCTCGTGATTGCAAGGTCACTTCACATTCAGTTTCACAGCGCACAGGTCACACTTTTTTTGAGACAGAAAATAAAGGCGGGAAAAGCGCGTCTGCAGTCTCCAGTGTCAGAGGCTGTTTTACAAGATTTCACCGTGGAGGACGGAGGCTGATTTATTTTCAGTAAATAACATCCCGCATTCAACGACAGGGAGCGCACATGTATAGTAGGAATTCAGTATCTCTCTCTCTCTTTAAAGTAATTTAGCGTCTTAATTTTTCACTTACTTAGATTTGTAAGAAGTTTAATTTTTGTTTAAAATTTTGGTTATCCCTATCTTGTTTTATATAACTGCAAGTCTGCCTGACATCATTTACTAAATTTAGGGAACCTTCACAATAAATTCGCCTCTTGTAAAATCTGAATTTACTCATAACCATGTATGACCACACTGTTTGACGTTAGTTCCCACTGAGTTTTCAATACATTTTTATAGCATACAGATGAACTGGTGATGAAAAAATTTATCCTCAATTCTTCTAGTAAAAGATGTGTTTTGAATGCAAGTTCCCTTTTCATACATTATAAATTACTTACCAAAATTCTCTAGTCGTTTCTTTTAGTCTCCACTCTCCTTAAAATATAAAGACAATTCAAACCAGAAGAAGCGGGTCTAAAACACGGATCAATAATTACCGGAAATAGCTTTAAAAATCAGAACAGTTTACAGAAGTATCTTCTAATGCAATATGTCATGGTAGGGTCTTTGAGCGTAAAAATACAGAGTTTGGCAGAAAACTTTTCGGCAGGTGTAGACTACGATGTGCAAGAAAAAAAATGGGGTCGTGAAAAGAAATAAATGTTTATCCCCAGCAAAAAAATAGCTATGAGTTCTACGGAGATCCCAGTAATCAGTCGAGAACGTAGGCAGTAAGCAGAGCCGTAGGGGAAGGTTAGTACATATATTCCGGATCCAGGAAAGAGATTACGGACTTTGAGGATGCCAGGACGGTTTTCACTGTAGGGTGGAAAGCAAGTGTGGTACCAAGAAACGAAGACGATTGACGATGGAAATGTGCAAGTACTACTAAGGAGTCATCAAAATGAGAAAGGGTCCTTTTTGGGGGACGGAAATGATTAGATATGAA